CACACACACACACACACACACTACACACACACACGACACACACACACACACACACACACACACACACACTACTACACACACACACACACACACACACACACACACACACACACACACACACACACACACACACACACACACACACACATACATACATACACACACAGACACACACACATGCACACACACTTACGCTCTCATGCACGCACGCCAAACCGAGTGACTACTTGTCAGAGCACACGTACTGACGCATACATACACGCACGCATGCACGCACGCACAAACGAACGAACACCGGCATGTTTCGCGTTACTCATTCTAATCTCTCTACGGTCTCCTACCAATACAGACGCGGCAGGCAAGCCGGGCAAACCAAACATTGAGGACTGGGACAGTGATCACGTCGACCTCAGCTGGACACCACCGGACAATGATGGCGGTTCTCCAATTGAAGAGTACATCATTGAAAAGAAGGAAAAGAAAAAGGATAACTGGACCGAGGCGGCTAAGGTTAGTTATTGCTATGAGATATAACTAAATTATATATATATATATACATATATATATATATATATATACTATTTAACTAATTAACATACTTGCGAATATGATTATAAGATATAAATTAATAAGAACTTTTATCAAATTTCGCATTGGGTAGTTTATGTACATCACTCTGCAAAGATTACTATAGTTCACAAATACACAGCAGGCACTATAGATCACGGGAAACCATTGATATAATGATACACGATTGCGCTGTCTCAGCTGACATTTTCTGATACTGACAGTATTAGTTTAATCTTTTAACTACCCGTCAACGTATAACCTTACCAATGTGCGTGTATCCAGGTACCTGCCACCCAAACCAAGGGCACAGCCCCGAATCTTGACGCTGGCAAGGAATACGAGTTCCGTATCCGGGCCTTGACGAAAGCTGGACCCGGACAGCCATCCGATCCATCCAGGTCGCAGATAGCTAAGCCAAGGAACCGTAAGTACTGTCACTACAGTCACAGTGGAATCACCGTATAAGACAACACATTGCTCTATTATTACATATAGCACATAGCATATAGGATAGCACGTAGCACAACTGACACATAGCGTGTGCCCATATGTAAATAATTATTATGGATATGGTTTTAATAATAATGCGTTACAGTTCTAAAATAAAGAGAGTTAGAAAGACGAGGTGGTGCATAAAAGTGATATCGTGTCGTCGTATAGGTTTTAGCAAACGTTGCTATTATTGATAGAACTGTCCGCGTAATTCACAGTGAAACCCAAGATCAACATGGGCAAGTTGGCTGACATCAAGGTCAGGGCTGGCCAGACTATTGACTTCAATGTTCCCATCATTGGTGAACCGCCGCCGGAGAAGGAGTGGTTCAAGGTACTGATATGCTTCTATATTTAGCGATCAAGCTTGAAAATACCGATATCGTTATGGCTAAACAGTTTAACAGTTATAGCTTACAAAATCACTCACATATACTCACCGCACGTGCGCGCGCACATACACACACACACACACACACACACACACACACACACACACACACACACACACACACACACACACACACACGACACACCACACACACACACACACACACACACACACACACACACACACACACACACACACACGTATTTAATAGCGCACCACACGGTTAGGGTTTCGCAGCTGACAGCAACACCAGCTTTACGATCTGTCGTACCTCCTGCATGCGTCCGACGGTGGTGTAAACTAGTAGTTGTTGACGGCAGGACGGCAGACCCGTGCACGCGGACGAGAAGCGCACTGCGCTCGTTAACGAGGACTACAACACGAGACTGACGGTGAGAAAGGCTAAGCGTGGAGACACGGGCAAATACAAGCTCAAGGTTAGCAACGTGAATGGCGAGGAAGAAGCGACCGTCAACGTTGTCGTGCTTGGTAAGTATGCATCGCAATCGCACCTGTAAATATTAGTAGTTAGATAGTCATTTAGTTATATAATATTAATAATGATGATAATGATAATTATTAGCTCAGCTGACGAAGTCAGATGCAGCTTGTAGAATCGCATGATTGTCCGTCCGTCCGTCCGTCCGTCAACAGTTAAGCACAAATCTTAACCGCTCGACGTACGGTCTTGATATTCGGGACGCCGGGGGCGGGGGGGGGGATCGCGAAAAGGACTCGGGATGTCGAATTTGGGGGGTCCAGGGTCAAAGGTCAAGATGTGTCAATGGAGGGGGAATATTTCCCCCTTAACATAAGGTATAGGAGGAAATACGGAATTGCGGCACAAATCTCAACGGCTCGACCTACGCTCTTAATATTCGATGTATAGTGTGATGGGGAGGAAAGCCATCACCAGCGCGAAATTGGAGGCCACAGGTCAAAGGGCAGTGGAGGGAAAGGTCAGATATCAGACATTTTCTGAGGACATGGTCTAACGGACCGAGTGCAAAACGTTTTTGTTTCAGCGCTGACCTACCGTTTTTATCACTTTATTGAGAGGACCATGAAATCTACTTTCCGCTGACGTGCGAAGAGTAAGTATTTGATAACCTTTTGACTCTCAAGAGGAGGGTTAAACATGGATTTGTTGACTGTTAACAAATGACTGTACTACTTTGGCTATTAGAGCCTTCTCCACCCGCCCCTCCCCCTCCCCCCACCATCCCCCACCACCACCACTACGCTCGCGCTCGACGCATATCCATGATAACATATAACGTTAATATAGCGAAGTCATTAAAGTTACACAGCTATATATTTATTACTGTACTATCAGTAGGTATAGCAAAGCCTATCATAGATTTTAAATCTGTATTAATAGTATCCTAGATTTCTTAATATTAATATTATTATTATTATTACTATAGATTTGTTGGAACGAATAATTAAAATAGGCATTTTCTCATCTCCAGCAAATTGATGAATGACGATTCCCGTATTATCACTCTTCTCGTTTAGAAAATATATATTAGAATAACATTTTATATTTAATTTTGAATAAATATATAAAAATTAAATGTACCTTAAAAAAATAATAAAATCATCACTTCCCCAGCAACCACTAAGTCTTCTTCAATCGTACGTGAATATCATCAAGGACAAATCATTAGAGCAAATACAGCGATTACATATATGCACTAAGGGTCACGTAATAATCGAATTTGTTTGGCAATGTTTCTACAGACAGGCCAGCGACACCCGAGGGTCCTTTGGACATAACTGATGTCAACAAGGATGGTTGCAAGATTGCGTGGAATAAACCGAAGGACGATGGAGGTTCAGGAATAACCGCATACATGGTACATATATATGTGCATAAACATACATAATGTAATATCAAATAAAATGTTATATTGAATATTATGAATAATTATATATTTAATGATAACTAATACAAGGCCACTAATCCATTATATAATATATATATTCATATGTGTGTGTGCGTGTGCGTGAGCGTGTGTGTGTGCATTCGTGCGTGCGTACGCTCGTGTGTATAGCACAGATTTACCCGCGCCCACCCACCCGCCACTCCCACCGAGTTAATTTATGAACAAGAAAGGAATTTTTTTGTTGTCATCACGTCACCATGTATAATATATACTATTTTCGCCATGAAGGTGGAGAAGATGGACAAGACGACCGGTCGCTGGAGCAACGCGGGAGAGGTCGATGGCGCCACCACGTCCATCGAACTCGATAATCTATTCACGGGCAAGGAATACATGTTCCGCGTGAAGGCCATCAACCGACAGGGAGAGTCCGATCCCCTCGAGGCCAGCAAATCCACGCTCGTCAAGAATCCATTCGGTACCATATTACCACAGAACCATACCATGCAAACTATTATATTATCAGGAGTGAATAATAATAGATTATTTTATCTATTATTATAATAATTAATTTATTATTCACTCCTGATAATACCATATATTACAATCGGAACGTTAACATGCGAAAACATTGCGATTTTATCTAGGTGTCGGTGTGTGCGTGTGCGTGCGTGCGTGCGTGTGTGCGTGCGTGCGTACGTGCGTGTGCTTATTACACGATAGCGTATTTATTATACCAATCATTACTGTGGTTTGAGGTAATGCCGATGCCGTAAGTTTGACCCGATGTTGAGTTAGTATTGCTGTGTGTTTCAGATCCTGCCAGCAAACCAGGAACACCCAAGGTCGACGATTGGGACCAAAACCACGTGGATCTGAGCTGGACACCTCCCGAAAACGACGGTGGCGCCCCCGTGGAGAGCTATGTTATTGAGCAGAGAGAGAAGGGAGCTCGCGTACGTGCGAATTATTTGTGTAACTAGATGGCTTTTAGATGTCGTTATAGTACAGTTGCCTTGCTATTATTCATCACAGTCGTCCCCGCTTTAGCAGGTCGTATATCGCTCAAATTACGTATTTTTAAAACCTATGCTTACGCCGGTTGTTATGTGTTCACCGCTTAATCGGGATCTCCGCTTACTCGGGACATTTTCACGGTTCCCTTTGTACCTGTTTGAACCCCCGTTGAATTCTACGTATTTAATGTTTTCAATATACGCTTATCTACGGTAACTGTGTCATTGACAAACAGAACTATTTCACGGCATGGTCTCGAATGTGCTTTTTTTCATGTAGGAGTGGACTAAAGGTGCGGAGGTGCCGGCCGACAAATGTGCGGGAGCTGTGGATAACTTGGTCGAGGGACGAGAGTACGAGTTCCGTGTGGTGCCCGTTAACAAGGCTGGACCCGGTGAACCGAGCGACCCGTCCAAGTATCAAGTAGCGAAGGCCAGGAACTGTAAGTGCCCATCGCAAACGATTTCAGTATTACAGCCATACACGCAAGACGCCCAGTAGTGTTACTAAATTGCTTCTCGTTGATATTAGGAAATAAAAGTGATCAACCATGAACTAGGAACACGCGTAACTTTATTGAAATCAAATTAATTATCATTGAATTCTCTTGCTCATTGAAGACATGACTCCCAAGTGGTGTTAATAAATAGATTCTAAATAACATTGAGCAGCAATCAGAATGAATAACCATGAAATAGAATTCCGCCGAACTATTATCAATTACCGTCAAATGCTCTTCGTTGTAACACGGAGCATCCTAACACTGATCCACAATTCCCAGTGGCGCCGGTGTTAGTTAGTTAGTTAGTTGCTATGAGATGCGCTTCATTTTAACACGGAAACCCGCCATTATAACTGTGATCTACGCTCCACAGTGCGGCCAAAGATTGACAAGGACGCCATGACACCACTCCGCGTTAAGGAGGGTGACGTCATCGAGTTTGACGTTCCATTCGATGGCGAACCGATGCCCGAGGTCACGTGGACGCGCGAAGACAGGCCGCTGAGCAACGACAGCAGGACGAACATCAACAACACCGAGGATGAGAAGACGGTGCACAAGAACACGAAGCTGACAACGAGGGAAGCTGTGAGGGGCGACAGCGGGAAATACAAGCTGACAGTCAAGAACAAGAACGGAGAGGACAGCTGCGAAGTGGACGTCGTTGTGCTGTGTAAGTTCGCGTACTAACCAAACTATAACTTTATTTAATCTAACTAATGTTAGTTATTGTTAACTAACGTTACCTACGTTACTCTACGTTAACTAACGCTTCCTGGCGTTACTTTACGTTACATAGAGTTACCTAACGTTGCCTAACGTTACCTTACGTTAACTACCGTTTTATGACATTGCTTTACGTAACCTAACGTTATCTAACTACAATGAATAACATGAAGAGCGTATAAAGAAAGCCTTCTTTATACGCTCTTGATAACATTATTACATTTAAACCGATTCCGATCATTCTCATAGGTTACACCAGGAACCCGTATTCTTTTGAAAATTCTGTTTGATTTACTCGGACTAGCTTTCAACTTAACGTGCTGTGCTATGCATTGGCTGTAAACGCTGTATACGTTACACGTGTAGTAGAATAGAGTACATGCGTGGAGCATAGTATGATATTAGTAGTGAAGAACGCAGTGTGTTAGTAGATAACATCCGTGGAAATATCGCTTGGCTAACCTAACGTGACAATATTGACAGCGACGGCATCGGCTCCTCGTGGCCCACTGGAAGCCAGCGACATCTTCAAGGACAAATGCAAGCTGAGGTGGAAGAAACCGACGGATGATGGCGGCTCCGGCATCCAGGAGTACCTGGTAGAGAAGCTGGATACGACTAAGGGCGTGTGGACGGAGGTAGCGCGCGTGGATGGAGACACGCCGTACTGTGACGTCGACAAGTGAGCCGATATTCTTACTACGGTGGAACCACTTGGCTGCTAGTTAATTCCATGATATAATTTTATAATATTTAATATATATATTGATATACATATATGCACGCTCAGGCACACACACACGCACGTGCGCACGCACGCACACACACACACACACACACACACACACACACACACACACACAGCACACGCACGCACGCACGCACGCACGCACACACACACACACACACACACACACACACACACACACGACACACACACACCGACACACACTACTACACTACACTACACACAACACACACACACACACACACACACACACGACAACAACACAGCGCACGCACGCACGCACGCCACGCACGCACACACCACACACACACATACACATTACATGTTTAATTATTATTTGCGCGGAGGCTAGCATTTTGTTGTTACATTGGTTTTTATCATTTTGATACGCTGCTTTAGGTTGAACACCTGTCACGAGTACTCTTCCGTGTGAAGCAGTAAACAGACAGCGCGAATCAGAGCCCTTCGTCATTCACTGACCAATAATAGCAGGATCCATGGGGTGAGTCGCATTACCAGCTGCGTTGTGGTGTTTATGGGTATCGTGTGGTCATGTAGATTAAATATGCAGTAATTATCAGTTATATAATAGTATGGGATTACCATGATATTTATAGTAAATACAGCATTCTTGCTGAGTGTCATCTCAAACATTTACATCATTGAGCATAACAGATAGTGTAGACACTACGTTTTTTTCGCAATCTCTTTCACGGGCGATGTTTATGTTTGTCGAGATATCGAGTCCATTTATCATCTTTACTTTTTTATAAATACGCATTCTATATATGCACGTTTATGATATATTTAATTCTGTATAATTATACACTTCATCTCTCCACAGATCCCCCTGGCCAACCTTGGCCACTCCCAACATCACCGACTGCCGTGGCAAAGATCACCATGCCCGACATCGCCTGCGATCTCCGCATCAAAACTGGAGGTGCGCATCGAGAAGTACATTTCATCGCAAAAGAAGGGACAAATCCGCTGCCCGTTGCTGGAGAAGGCGCGGAAGTCAGCCGTGCGTATCGCAATTATGCTAACAGATACGCTTTCTAAAAATTTCAATTAACGTTTTTATATTATTGGTCGAGCTTCTCCTCGCTGATGTTATGAACCTGGTACACCGATTATATGCTGATGTAATATATATATATATTAATATATAATTTATATATTTATATATAACATATATATATATATATTATATATATATATATATACAATATTGTTCACTTTATTCATTCCTCAATTTCTTCATACCGTCATTTATAATTACAAATCGCATAATTATTAATATTAATTATTAAATTTATTAAATTATTTATATTATTTGTAACAAGTAAATCATTCCCCCTATGTCTGATATGTTAATGTTTGGTTATAGGTGATGAGCATAAGGGCACCGTACCAAACCTCCTACCCGGAGCAGAGTATGAGTTCCGGTGTTCGTGGCCTGTGAATAAGGCGGGCCCTGGCGAGCCCAGTGATCCGTCTAGGTCGCAGGTGGCCAAGCCAAGATTCGGTAAGCTTATCTATATTTTTAACTATATATACGTATATATATATATATATATATACATATATATATATGTATATATATATATATATATAGAGAGAGAGAGAGACGTCTCTACACATTTCAAACTTTTTCTTGATAGTTAAGTCTGGTTTCCGCTGTGTTAAATCTCGTAGATGAATTAGAGTCTCTGTAAATATGACACGTTTGGTATTATTACACGTGTGACGTCTTTTCCCCCTTCTCACATGCACCTGAGTAGTGACTCTCGTCATCTTGCCTCGCCTCTAGAGTCTCCTCTCCCATTACACGAATTCCGTACATTTCTTAAAAGTAGCCAAGCTCATCATAAGATCACAGAGAGAATCATAGCGTCATAATGGTCGTATGTAAATGAGCCGGTCATCTCGTTTCACGCAATACAGTGAAGCCAAAGATTGACAAGAACGCTCTGCCGAAGACGCTGAAGGTGCGAGCTGGTCAGCCGATCAATCTGAACGTGCCCATCTGCGGCGAGCCCATGCCCGAGATCAGCTGGACACGCGATGGACACCCGATCACCGACTCACCGCACGGCAGCGTGGATAAAAGTCCGACGGAGACAGGGGTACGTGCTGCCGTTTGACGTTGACTATTGCAACGTTGACGATGATTATTTATTGATGACGTTATTCGTTTAGTTATTAATTATACTTATTTATTATTTATTTGATTAAATTACTTATTTCTATCATTATTTATTTAATAATTTATTATTTTATTGAAGTATAAAGGTTACACACTAATACATGTCTGATTGGTCAATATGTGATACTGTTATTTACTATGTAATCAATCTGTATCAATCAAATTATATTCATACTATCTATCTATAGGTGAGAGTACCGAAGGCCAACAGAGATGACACTGGCAAGTACAAGCTGAAGATCAAGAACGAGTTGGGAGAAGATGAAGCTGCCTGCGATATAATCGTCGTTGGTAATTATGATTAAGAATTTTTATTACTTATTTTGTTTTAGTGATTTATATAATGTATTTATTACAATATTATATATTTATATGCATATATACTATAATAATTATATAATAAGCTTCGGTGTTGACGCGAACATTGTTGTTCACGTGTGCAAACGTTTGCGTCGGACAATTAGCGTTCGACCTATGAAATATCATATAGTATGTCTATATATGTAATATGTCTACAATTTAACCAACAATTAACGTCAAAAATACCAACACCTACAACTACTACTACTTCGTATTAGTTGTCAGCCGACACAGCGTATTACGAAATTCTCTCAAAAAGTGTTCCCGTGATTTTATCAACTTCGCGTATGCGCTGAATGGTAACAAATTGGGCTCGATTCGCACTTGGAACAAACGAGTGACCTTTCCTTGATCCTACAGACAAGCCGGGCGAGCCAGAAGGTCCGCTCGACGTCTCAGACGTTAAGAAGGACAGCGCCGTACTTAAATGGAAGCCACCAAAGGATGATGGCGGCGACCCGGTGTCTCACTATGTGCTGGAGAAGATGGATACAGCCCGCGGTTCATGGGTCGACGCTGGACAGACGTCCGGACCCGAGTGCAAGTTTAAGGTACATTCCAACAGCGGACGTGTTCTCCGAGTGAACGAATATAGTATTGCCTCTCATATTTTACCCGTATGCGTATGCGTCAATGCCTTGCGTTTTCATCTCGTATTTCAGGTTAAATTAGCTTGATAAGTATATTATGCATCAGATGAGTAAATGTGGTTTGCTAGTGTTACAGCGTAATAAGTGTCGTTTACATTACGTGAGTAAGTTTCGTTTTGTGCACGATACAACTTGTTAAACAACTTTTGCATCGTGTGAGTAATTAAGTGTCATTTCCATCGTGTTACAGATTGATTAGTTAATTTTGCATCACGCGAGTAATTATGTTTCGTTTTGTGCGTGTTACAGGTTGATAAGCTAATTCCCAAGAAGAAGTACAAATTCAGAGTGAGAGCTGTCAACCCACAAGGCGAGAGCATGCCCCTGGAAACTACTAAGGAAATAATTGCAAAAGATCCATTTGGTAAGCAATGGCCTTAATTTTGAGATTGGTACAATAGTATTTATAAAAATAATTTTCTGTTTCTGCTATCGACGTGTGTGAATTAATATTTAGTAACTTCACATTAATAAACCAATTCGTCAGTATCGGCCTGCTGTTTAACACTGGGAGACAAGTTCCTTTGTTCTCATTAAATTGGCATGCAAGAAATGTTAACTTTCATCGTGTAACCTCATGCACAGATGTCCTTGAATTATGTGAATTGGAAAATCAGTCAGTATCATGACCATTCACGTACCTCATTTATATTTTTCCTAGTGACGTAGTGAAAACAATAACACGAAGTTGGTGGACGAACAGTTGCCTTACGGGATTAATGCACTAGGCGAACATATTTAGATGTTGTTTTAACCGTCGCGACTATCGTGCCGTAAATTGTGCCCAATCATAACTGAACACTTCGTGTCTGCGCATCTACAGAGACACCAGGATCTACGGAAGCACCAGAGATCGTTGACTGGGACACGGATCACATGGATATCGTTTGGAAGGCACCCAAAGATGACGGTGGCGCCCCTATCGAAAAGTACATTATCGAGAAGAAAGACAAAGCGCTCGGTCTGTGGGAGAAGGTAAGTCACATGACCAGACATATTCATCAGCAGGATCTACTGTTATAATGAATTATACGCATTGAAAAGCACTGAGAGCGTAAAATACGAAAAAAATTATTTATCACTATTCAAAACTGAACATGAATTTCAAAATAATCGTCGATTATTCGTAATGAGATTCCGATTCCTAATCTTGAGCGGGAAACGGTACTGGGGAACTTCTATATAAACTTCTATAAAATAAATAACTTTCCATTATATATTGTTCACTGAAGCTACAGTACACCACATTACCGTTTAAAACAGAATTCAGTGCAGAATGCAGTGACAATAGGGTCCGGAAGTGCACCGATTGTTGTTTTAGATGCTGCAATACCTGCATGATATACTGTAACTGATGATTTAATTATTTTTATTATCATTACCACAATAATTTCGTTATTGTCGGTATTTCAACTTCTGTGTCTTATTTACCGTATCGTGCACGTCTCTGTAATAGGCGGACACAGTGCCAGGCAGCGCTCACTCAGCTACCGTACCAGACCTGGAAGAGGGACATGAATATGAGTTCCGAATTGTCGCCGTCAATAAGGCAGGTCCAGGAGAGCCAAGCGACCCATCGAAGGCTCAGATTGCAAAGCCCAGGAACCGTAAGTGCTGTCAGCCATCTTGAATACTATGTATCAACGATCGGAACAGATTCTAGAAATTTCTTTAAAATGGGATGTTGCGTTTGAAACTAGCTTTTTATAGTCAGTCGTCTGTAGTGATAACGATCTGTGACATGTATCTGTTATGATTAATAATCACATTCAGGGGTACACTCTCGATCCGCCTTATAAATATTAGATAGCTTTCTCCGATGATTGAAAAAGTAGTATCTGGAATAAATATCAATATATCCTTTATTTAAATATCTTTACAATTATATACATATAATATAATTACAATAACGTGTAATCTTAATTTATCAGTGGCACCTCAGATCAACCTTGGTGAGATGAAGGACATAAAGGTCAAGGCCGGTCAGCCGTTCTCGATGGACATCCCCATCAAGGGAGAGCCGACACCGACGGTGAAGTGGACACGCAACGGCAAGGAGATCAAGCCCGACGATAGAGTCGGTATCGAGAGCACGCCGACGCTGGCTAACCTGAGCAACAAGTGTGCGGAGAGAGACGACACGGGAGAATACACGCTCACGCTTACTAACGAGAACGGAATCACAAGCGCCACTTGCAAAGTGTCCGTGCTAGGTATGCGCGATGGTCTCTTACGATTTTGAAAACCGACGAACGATCAGCTAGAGTAATCCCACGTTTTCGAAGTTATCAAATGTAGTCTAAAGCGAGATGAATTACTATGAGCTCATCTGAAGTAATTTGAAGAAGTTCAAACTCATTTGCCGTAATTTGAAGTACCATAAACTCATCTAAAGTAGTTTGAAGAAAACTAACCTTATTTGAAGTAATCTGAAGTACCATGAGCCTATTTGAAGTAATTTGAAGAAATCTAACCCCACCTAAAATACTGTGAGGTAATCTCAATCCACCTGAAACAATCTTAAATAATCTTAAATAATCAGAAGTATTATATTCTCATGTATCATTATCATCAACAGTTATAATGTTGCGTCTGTACGTTTATAGACAAACCAACGGCACCCGAGGGTCCGCTGGAAGTCTCTGGCGTGACGAAAGACAGCGCCACGCTGTCGTGGAACCCGCCCAAGGACGACGGCGGCAGTCCCATTACGTACGTACATATTACAAACAGCATCCGTGACCATCTGTTACTTGTGGGCATTTATGTGCCTTATCGTGGTCCTTACAGTATTTGATCATTATCTATTTAAGAAAACTTAATCACAATCGTAAAGATTACTCAACTCATCCATCACGGGATAGGTGTAATTTCGCTGTTTACTTGCACGATGTAAATTCAAACGATGTTGTGCTGTTGAAGGATTTGTTGTACGTACTAATGATGATGCAGACTGGCATGAATACAACAAGAGCTAATAATACTCACACGTATTATATTAGCTCTTGAATGTAACAACGAGTACGAACGTGATACAATAGATATTAAAACTATAGAATCCACTTCTATTCCGTCCACTTTTCTAGTATACAATCCACTTCTGGTTTAACTAATGCATATGACTGACGGTATCCACGAACGCAGCGTGATATATTCATTCAATACGCTATTAATCAGGTACAAAGTGGAGAAGAAAGACACGAAGCGAGGCGCGTGGGTGCCGGTCAATACTAACGTGAAGGACACCAACTTCACCGTGCCGAAGTTGCAGGAGGGACACGAGTACGAGTTCCGCGTGGTCGCACAGAACGAGCTCGGAGATTCAGAGCCGCTGCTAACGACCCGACCGGTCGTCGCCAAGGATCCGTTCAGTAAGTGAATAATCCACCGCAACGATAAACACGGGATGCTGTTGATTGCTCGTCTGCTCTGTAAGACGAGATGTGCAATGAGATCGCGTAACCTATGAAATGTAGACGCTAAGTTTATACCGATAAATAGAATAAAATAATACTATAAGTGTGATTGATCCTAACTCTCCCTTAGACGGGTTCTTGTTTAATATTATCGCATAACCTACGAAGTTGGATAAGGAAGTTTGGCAAGGAGGACTCACACATAGCAGGAGTTCTGCAACGATATTATATTGAATATGCTGGGTAGAGCAATACAGGGCATTTATAATATAATGAGTTAATTAACATCAATTAATGAGCTTCTGATAATATTCATTACATTCATAATAACTAATATAAATCTATAATGTATATAATAGTTAAAATACTAGAATAACGAAAACAAACCAAAATTAAAACATACATAATAAATTACTCCCGAATCCATGGTTCTCGAATCGTAATTAATGTGCTCGAATCCTAACTAATCGAATCGATCTTTCATCTTCCAGCTAAGGCGAGTGAACCCGGTCAGCCCGTAGTCACCGATGCCGACCGTGATTTCATCTCTGTGAAGTGGGATCCGCCGCACAGCAATGGCGGAACACCGATCACCGGCTATGACATCGAGCGCAAGGACAAGAACAGCAACCGATGGATCAAGGTTAACAAGGAACCGTGCCGGGTAAGTTTTTAATTGGAATCAAATTTCAAATTCATGATAATTTCAAATTTATTTCTAATTCAGGCTGTCCGTTGTCAGTTGCTGCGCGGTTTCGACTGCTGAATTGGGTTAGATTATTTACATTTACATTTAGCGCCGCGCGCGACGCGCGCGTCTCTGTGCTTGCGTGTGCGTTGCGTGAACACGTGCTCGTGTTTGGGCGTATATATATATATATATATGCGTGCGTGCGTGCGTGTGTGCGTGCGCGCGTTCGTGTGTGCGTGTGTGCGTGCGTGCGTGTGTGCGCGCGCGCGCGTGTGTGTGTGTGTGTGTGTGAGAGAGCGTGCGTGTGTGTGCGAGTGCGGGTGCGTGCGTGCGTGCGTGTGTGCGTGCGTGCGTGTGTGCGTGCGTGCGTGCGTGGTGCCGTGGCGTGCACATCTTTACAATTTCTGACCTATCTCCGTGATTGCGCATATGACATCCATGATTTCGATTTTTCCATTCAGGGAACTGAGTTCACAGACCCGACTGTGACGGACGGTCACTACTATGAATACAGAGTCGTAGCAAAGAACAAGGCAGGCGACAGTGACGCAAGCAAACCATCGAAGATCATAAGGGCTAGGCCACTGAATGGTATGAGCATCATCTTAGTAATACGTTTTTTAAAGAATATTATAGTTTTGATAGTTTAAGCATTTGCTCCGCCCACTTCCAGGTTATTATGTGTTATATGTGTTTTCAGTTTCTGCATAAATGGAGTTACAGTGCTGTTAATCCGGACATACACGGATGCGCATAATATATATCTTATATATTTTTATTTAGTTAGTTTGTTATTTATTTGTTTATTTATTCATTTATTTATTCATTTGAGTTTTTAATTTACATCCTATATATACTACGAGGGACACATTTAAACATTCATACAGTGAACATAACTGTTTAACATAATTTTCACATACACATAACATGAACAACGACTTTTAATAAAACATGGTTTTAAACATAAATTGTTTATGTGCTCTTTATACGATATATATATATATATATATATTATATATATATATATAATATATATATATATATATATTATATATATAATATGCCATATATCTATTTATTTAATTAATCATTTATTTATACATCTATATCTTCTGTGCAGAGAAGCCCAAGGCGCACATGGACCTGGTGGGACGTGAGATCCGCGTGCGTGCGGGCGAGCCGCTGAACATAGATGTGCCGATATCGGGCGGTCCGCCGCCGACCGTACAGTGGAATAAGGACGGCAAGGCCTTGTACGACGGAGGCCGCGCCGACATGTCCAACGACGACGACAACGCCAAGCTACATATCCCGCACTGCCGACGCGATGACAGCGGCGACTACCAGATCGCGCTGAAGAACGAGAACGGCGAAGACGTCGGCAACATCAAGGTCATCGTTCTTGGTGAGAGTTGCGGCGCGAAGTGTGACGTTGTCGTCGTCATGTCGGCGACGACAACGCAAAGATTTAGTACTCGTAGTAGATTTAGCTGCGTGTGTTTTCGTGCGAGGCGACGGATACATTCTGCTGTTAATGTTTTTTGGGATGACGATGTCGCGTGGGTGTTATATTTTAGAAAATCAGATAATGATGATACAAGGCACGGTGAAACTGAGTTAAGGTTTGCGAACGTCTGCATGTTCTAGCGGGGAATCGGGTGTTGGTCTTGGAGGCGGGTGCACGCCTGCGGCAATCGTTCGTTTACGTTCTTGTATGTATCTTTGCAGATAAGCCTGGCACACCAGAAGGACCTCTTTCACCGACAGCTACCACGAACGACTCCGTATCTCTGGCCTGGAAACCACCGAAGGACACTGGTGGAGCTGAAATAACAGGTAATCACCACGGTGCCTAATGCTACACACGTAAATACAGTGTCGTATGCTAACAACACAAAATCGGAACGCACAAGTACGCATTGTTCATACCTCTAACGTTTTTATCCTCGCATATTCTTCCTACTAATGATAGCCCAGTTGATCTTCATCAAAACATACTGAAAACAAAAGTTTACCGTACAATACTATAACGTCATACTACCTATACATACTACCAACATACATACACACTATACATATACCATAACATACGCAATGCAGTACTATACCATACTATAAATTTCATCATTTGCTTCTCTCTTCGGTAGAATATATCATCGAGAAGATGGAGGAAGGTATTCCTGTGTGGAACAGAGTGCCTGGATCGCCAATGGATACCAAGTTTACTGTGAAGAACCTGGACAAGGGCAAACGCTACAAGTTCCGTGTGTCTGCCGTCAATCCGTACGGTCAATCCGAACCGCTAGAAAGCGCTTCAATACAGGCGAAGAATCCGTTCGGTAAGATTTTTTTTACAGGATTCGAAGTAAAATCGAACGTATAATACATGAACCACGATGTGATTATGATTATGTCTAATTATCGATGTATATCTTAAATTATGTACCCTGTACAATATGGTTAACATGTATTTTTAATTGTTTTCGTAATTTGTAATGGACCGTGGTAATTTCAGTATTGTAAGAGTTTTAGCCAGTCTCTGTACTATTGCAACGGCTATTGAAATTTACTCACTGTTTATTCATTAGATGCGCCTGGATGCCCTGGTCAACCAGAGATCACCGATACAAGTCCGTTCGCTATAGGACTCAAGTGGAAGAAACCGGATGAAGATGGTGGCAACCCCATTACTGGTATGAGAACACTCGCTCTCTTTTTGTAACGAACCGAAATGCTTAACGAACAAACTTTTCATTATATAAATTATTTTGCTTTAATAACACAAAATCAGATTAACGTTACGTTAATTTTACGTTTAAGCGAAGCCCAATAAAATAACAAATATTAAATTTAAAAAAATGTTTCATCGAATAATCTCGTAATAAATCCTATATCTATATATAATCTCTATATATAATATAATCAGGAGTGGATAATAGAATCTCTATTATCCACTCTTGATATAATGTTATCAGAAGTGTCATAATACAGACTCTATAATATAATAATAATTCTCATAATGCTATTTAACGTGGCCACGGTTTGACGGTTAACACCACATCTTGCGCGGTACTTCAGGTTACATGATCGAAAGACGCGAAGCCGGTACAGACAACTGGGTGAAATGTAACATGACGCCTGTTGCCGGCACCAACTTCTCGGTTACGGGACTGGTCGAGGGAGCCGAGTACGAGTTCCGCGTCATGGCCGTCAACGAAGCCGGACCAGGAAAGCCTAGCCGAGTATCCGCACCGGCATTCGCCAGGGATCCAGTCTGTACGTGCATAGCCACAGTTTTGCTGGTGAAATCCCCCTTGATGTTCTCTAAGATTGCTCCTCCGTATTTTATTGCGAATATATGGAATACTTATTGAAACATTATTCCAAATATTCAAATTATAATTCCAATAATATATTATTCCAATGACAAATACCAATTTACCATGACAAAATGTCCGTAAATTTTCGACAATTCAACAATTCAATCTCGTTAGAACTAGCACTAGTATGGTAATTAATAAACAACTCTAACAAGAAAAAGAGTGATTATTATCAATAACAATTTTAACATGCAAATCGTGCAGTGTTACTGTTCACGGGGACATTCTTATGACATGTAAAACGACGCAGTACGTTGCGTCGTGAAGTATATTTAATAGCACTTATTTGCCTTCACAGTTGTGCCCGACCCGCCTAGCCTGGTCAACGTGGATAGCATTACGAAAGACTCCGTTGGCCTGTCCTGGGAGAAACCTCGCAAAGATGGTGGCAAGCCGATTACTGCTTACGTCATAGAGAAGAAGAAGGGTCCGGATGGTGAATGGGAACGAGCGGCTAGGATTCCCGGACGGGTAAGAAGACCACGAACACACTTTATATGTACATATATGTGTGTGTGTGTGTGTGTGTGTGTGTGTGTGTGTGTGTGTGTGTGTGTGTGTGTGTGTGTGTGTGTGTGTGTGTGTG